GCACCATCAAAATCTTTTTTTTTTTTTTTTTTGTGGTAAGGAGTTTGAACTCAGGGCCTTTACCTTGAGCCACTCCACCAGCCCTTTTTCATGGGTTTTTTTGAGATAGAGTCTCATGAACTATTTGCCTGGATTGGCTTCAAACCTCATCCTCCCTCCTGATCTCTGCCTCCTGAGTAGCTAGGATTACAGGTGTGAGCCACTGTGCCTGCCTCATTTAGTTTTTAAATCTCTTATGTCAGCAATGAAACTGAAAGTGATTTGCTCATTGTTTCAGACCTCAGCAGAGGCAGAGCTAGAAACCAGTAGAGCCAGGACTCACTCTGAGTCTAACACCTGTTATTGATTGAGGCATATTAGGTCTTAAAGGCTGACTTAGTTCTAGTTTTTGGTCCTATGTTAGGGTTCTTTGTAAGTGCTAAAGGATGCCAGTTAGTCAACTGGGCTTATTATTATGTGTATGTTTCAATGCCCTTCATCATCCAAATTATTCCAGGGTACAAAGGGTATAAAATAGGCAAAATAATTGCCCAAGAGCTCTAATTTCATGACATATACCATTTTTTGCAAAACAAAAGCATCTTGGCAGATTATTCATTTCTTCTGAGTGGTTTATTCAAAGTTAAAAATAAGCTGAGAAGGGAACATTTCATTGTAGCAATCTTTAATTATCATAGCCCTTTTTGGAGCCAAGGACAAGGGAGCCAGACAAGAACATGGCCACTTGTCATCCATGAACACCGCGCAGCATTCTTACACTTTGCTTGAAGTTAGTAATTCTAGTTATCAATGTGGCTGCAACCTCTTTACTACTTGTTGTTATCTCTAATCCTAATATTGCTATTATCTTTAAAAATAATTTAGTCTATGATTAATTTCATGTTCTGTGAAGTAAGACAGTTACCATTATCCATAATTAACAATAGCAAACTTAAGGCATAGAGAAGCAGGTTTCTAAAATTCACAGCTATTTGGTGCAAAAGTCAGAATTAAAATTCTTTTGTCTTCCAACCTAGTTTCTCTGTTCTCAAGAAAGAGTGCTTTCTTTTGGTTTTTATGTTTAAAAAAAAAAAACCCACCTGGCACTTTTCTTGTAGTACTTTCTGTTTTGTATATAATGATTGTTTCTTCTTCTGATAATAAGCTTCATTTACTCTTTATAGCATCTTACACAATTCGTTCAACAAAGTACTCAGTAAATGTTTTTAAGAATTATGGACATAGGGAGTGTTTTTTATAGGATGGATATTATCTGACTGAGAAATTACACATAATTAGTTCGATTCTTCTTTCATTCCCAATTTAGAGTTCCTGGTCTAATAAGCAGTATCAGTCAGGAGGCCAATATCCAATTTATGCTCTCATCTCTAAGTTAACTTAAAATATTGGCCTCAGTTTCCCATCAGAAACATAAACACGTATGTAGTATTTTAATTTAAGGTATAGTTGACAAATACAAAGTGTATTTACTTATATGGATCACATGATGTTTTGATGTATGTATACATTGTAAAATGGTGAAGTGCAGATCTAATATTTTTTATGGGAAAAATAGTTGCTGTTTTCAGAATTACATTTCTTGGATGGTTAATTTTCTGTGTCAATTTGACTTGGCTATAGGAGGCCCAGATGGCCAGTAAAACATTATTACTGGGTATGTCTGTGAGGGTATTTCCACAGAGATTAGCATAGGAACACAATGAATAAGGAAAATTGCCTTTTTCAGTATTAGAGGGCATCATCTGATCTGTTGAGGGTCTGTCTAGAACAAAAAAGGTAGAGGAAGGGAGAATTTCTCGGCTTGAGCTGGGACATCCATCTTATCAAGTCCTTAGACCCTGGTGCTCCTGGCTTTGGAATTTGGACTGAATTACACCATTTGGCTCCCCCGGTTCCTGGGCCTTTGGGCTTGGACTGGAATGATACCATTTGCTCTCCTTACTGATGGAAGACTCTGAGGTCTCACAGCCTTCATAATCTTTAGTCAATTCCTCATAATAAGTGTCTTCCTATGTATCTCTGTGTATTCTACTGGTTTTATTTCTTTATTGCTGCAGTATTTCCTAAGGTTTTCCATGTACAAAGTACAGTTCTGAGCTTTTCATATAGGTATTCTTTTATACCCACTGACTCTTATTATGCTCATTTTTACATGAGGAGAAACTGAGTCTGAGAAAGGTTGAATAACTTGCCCAAGACCTTACAGCTAATAATAAATGGTGGAAAAGCTGAAAACCTAGGTCTGTGTGACTACAAAATCTAAGCTAGTATTAATTATTCCATGGTATTTTATCATAGCCTATACTCTGACAAAACTAACATTTCCCACATGGCTAAAGTCCTCCCCATTCTAGATATTAAAGTGAATAATTTCATGGAGTTATAACAGGTATTTCAAAATTGCTTTTGTAACTAAAAGCAAGATAAAAGTCTGGCATCTCAGCCTTCATTTTGTATTTGTCTCCTTCAGTTTGGGTCGGACTCCTGCTTAATTTTACACCTGGGCATGCTAATCGTTCAGGAAGTACCTACCTAAAAATTGGTGACACCTTCCCTATCTCATTCCCCTTCAAGGCTGAAGGTACAAAGATGACAGTAACTAAGGTATCTTATTAAGGGCTTTTACAATGTCCTGTTTCAGACTTCCCCAAAAGTCTGAAACTGAAAATCCCCAGTTACTGTCCTAAATCTGCAATCATCGCCGATTCCAAGAACAGCAGAGCCTGTGGACAGATCATCCCCAAGCTGTAGTAATCACCTCATGGTAAATGGATTGTTTCAATCTAGAAGACATTTTTTTTCTGGGCCCTCTTGTAGAACCAGAACTGAGATACTGATCAACCAGACCACAGTTTGACTAAGACTGCTTAATTATGCATACCTTTCCCTCTCTGCCTAATTCTTCCTTTATTTGAACCTACAGCTGAAATGCTTAATTTCTGTCTTCCCAAAGAGGCCATTTTGATTACAGTCCTTTCTGCCTTTCCACCCTTACTTTTGTTTTCTGTCTTTGGGGTTAGGGGCTGACCTGATATGTTGGAATCCCCAGAGGCAGACCTCTGGCCTCAGAGTCTGGTTACAGAGTTACCCTCCAAATAGACCTCGTTCTATTCAGTTCCACTGAAATAAAAATTCAGCCTAAGGGAACTCCTTTTTGCAGACATTATTTGTTCTAGCTCTGGGATTGTATCTTTATGCTGCCTGCTTTAGATTGCAAAATGTCTCCACCACCACCTTTTAAGTTTTTAAATGGTGTTTAATTTTTTTCTTCAGTCTGTATGTTCAGCCACCTGTACACTTCCTCTACACTTCCCCAAAGTCGAGAAAAGAGAAAAAAAAGAAAAAGAAAAGCCCACGCTCCTTCCCCGCCTAATACTAATAGGTCTGATTTAGGAGATGATACATTTTAATAAAGAGCTTATTGAACTCTCAGTGGAACACTATCTCAGGGTTAATGGGAGTCCTTGTCTTTTTTGACTTTTCTACCCTCCATTCTCCATTGGTGGGCTGAAAAACTACCCAACTAGGATTAAATTGAGCAATCTAAGAATGCTATGAAGGGATAGAACCCTGGGGTTCAACTACCCCCTTTTCAGAGAGACAACTTAAGTCCACTGGCTGATTGACTTAAACACGTGTGTTCCAATCTGTGCTGTCTTATCATTCAAGACTCTAGCGTGGTCCTCAAGGGGTGTTCCTAGCAGCTGATGGGAAGTTTTGGACTGGGTGGACATGTGAGGATGAGGGAAGTGTTTCAGAGGTCAGATCGGAGGTACGTTACTTGGATCCCAATCCTCTATTTAGGTCTTGGTCAAGTTACGTAACTTTCCTGTAACTCACTTTCTTTGCTACTGAGGCTCCTTACCTCAGCACCACAGTAGATCGTATGGTTGCTGTGATGACTCCATGTGTTATTCTGCCGTTAAAGCAACCTTCATCACACAGCATTTCTACCAGATATCCCCAACCCTTGAATTTGAAGCTCTCACGCTCTTCCCTGGCATGTCTAGTATTGACACAGAAGTCGATGCTGGCATTTTCCCATTCAAAATGGCTTACTTGTCGTTAAGTTTGGGGCAAACAGGTTATATTCGCAGGGAGGACCCAAACCATCCCGCCCGGATACAGCACGAGCCGAGCTCGGCTCGGAGATGCTCACAGCCGACGCTCCTTTGGGAGAAGGCGGACCTCGCAGGCGGGCGGCTGCCTTGGAGAAGGAGCGGCCTTAACGCCGCCGAGGACCTGGTCCCTCCCGGCGGGTAGGGCGAGGGCCCAGGTGCGGCTGCAGGGCGACGACAGAGCCAGGACCATTGCAACTGCTCTCAAGTTTGGGCTTTCCATCGCAGTCCCGGAGACAAAGGGACTTCTTGGTTTGTACTGTCACCGGCCCCCAGCTTTGTCCCCAACTTCCCCTGGCGCCGGCTTGGCCGCGTCCCTCATCCCCTCTTTGTCTGGCCTCCACCCAGCGCCCCTTTGTTGTCCACCGTCCCTTCTAGTGAGGGGTGAAAGAGCTGCCCACCTTCGGCGGAGAAGAAATAAAAGGAGTGCCGGAGCCAAAACGTCCTCACACGCCCCCCATCGGGTAACACGTCCTCAGCAGCCCACCCGCGACACTCGGGCCGCACCTCGGCCCCTCACCCGGGTCTTCGGCTCGGGGGAGGGGCGCGGCGCTGCCGGCGTCCTCTGATTGGCTGCGAGCGAGGGGCGCCGCTCCGCGATTGGGCGGCGGGGCTGTCAGGTGCGAGAGCGCGCGCGAGGTGGGGAGGGGGCGGTGGAAACTGCTGGAAGTCGGGGGGGCGGGGGATGAGGGGGGTTGCGGGGGGATGAGGCGGGGGCGACGGGGCGGTGGCTGGGAGGCAGCGGCGGGAGGGGCCGCGCTGGTGCAGGCGGGGGCGAGGGGCGGGGGGCGGCGGGTGCGGGCGGCGGGGAGGGGCGAGCCGGGCACCGCCCCCAGCCCCTCCCCGACCCTCCCCGCGCGGCTCTCCGACCGCGGGCGGCCCAGGGGCGGGCGCGCGCTGCATCCCCATCCTCAGCGTCGGCCAGCGCAACGCGAGCAGCGGGCGGGCGCAGCTCTGAGGCCCTGTCATGGCCACCACCAGCACCACGGGCTCCACCCTGCTGCAGCCCCTCAGCAACGCCGTGCAGCTGCCCATCGACCAGGTACCGGGGCGCTGGCGTCCGGACATCGTGCCTCGGCCGCCCCGCCGGGACGGGAGGAGGGTGGGGGCTGGGCCGGCGCTGCTCTGCCCGCTGCCTGATAGGGAGGGGGCGACAGGCTGGCATTGTCCCCTCGCCCGGCTGCCTGTCTCGGTGCTCACCCAGCCCCCCATCGCTCCCCGGGCGGGGGTGGGCGCGGGCGGCGGCGCCGGCGACAGCCCCCGGGGAGGGCTAGCCGGACAGACGTGCGCGTGTGCATGCTGTCCCTGTGCGGCGACCGAGCGCTCGGACCCACCGGGTCCCGGCGCCGCTGACCCCGGCTTGGCCGCCCGCCGAAGGTCTGGGGCGAAGGCTGCCGGGTCTCCGCGCTGGCCCCAGTGCCCGGGAGGCTGCGGGTGGTCTGCGTGCCGAGTGCACTGGTCACGCTATGGATGGGTCTTGAGCTGTCCTGCACTTGGGGACAGTTTGCGTTTAAGTGTGGCTTGAGAGACCGCGAGGCAACAGTGTGGGGGAAGACAGGTTATAAGGAAAAGTCAAAGCGAGTTCATGATCCCACGATCTCTAGCGAGAGAGTCCTGTCCCCTCACCCTGTCCTCAGAAAAGCGTTCGACATTGTCTGGAGAGAAGGCTGGCATTTAAATGAGGCCAGTGGAGTTTGATTGTTTGAAGGGCCTCAGGATTGTGAGAAATACTGAGTATTGTGATGGGAAAAAGCAGCGCCATTTTTATCCAGAAAAGAAAGTTTGGAAGTGTTTTGTCCTGAGATTTGGGGAAGTAGTTGATGGGGTTTAATAGGTAGATAATGACTTTGGAAATTTTGCTCACCTTTATTTCAAGTGCCCTTGATCTGGAAGCCTTTGCACTTCACTAGGGATACTGGCCCGCTGTCCTTAGCTTGACTCTTGCTGTTAGTGATGTCTTCAGGAGTTTCGTTTCTAATACAGAATTCTTCAGTGTCCAGACTACTACTGCTCATAGTAGCAAGCTGGAAATGACTCTTGAGCCTAACATTACCATACTAACAGCTTCGTGCTTTATTGTTTTAAATAAAGTACACTGAAGTATGTCGAAGAGCGTGTAAAAAAATCTGCCTTGTGTTCATATCCGAATTCCTTACTTACATGTCAGTCTTAACTTTCAGTTGATAATAAAGTGCCTGTCCTCCTCGTATGTTGAACACTTATAATATGTATCACTCTCATAAAGAACCACTAGTGCAATTATTCATATTTAAAAAAAATAATAAATTGATGAGAGCGTAAGGTTTTGTTCTTCCAGTTCTGTGGAAGACTCTCGCTGTTTTCCAAACCCAAGTGCAGTGTCTGACCTTTGAGTGTATCACACCTCTGACTGAAATAGACTGCTGCCAGTATGTACCAATAAATGCAGGGCAGAATCTGTTGAAAGTGTCCTTGCTAATGAGAAAGATACAGGCTTCTACCTTTTCAATTCTACTCCTCTCTACCATGATTAAGTGTTTGTTTTTACTATGTTAATGCCTTTATACAAAATTTTTAAAAGTTATTTAATATTAATGAACTCATTTAAACATCTCAGCAATCTAGAGAAAGTTCCTTTTTGTACTCAAATTCAAATAAGCAGGAGAATCAGGAGAAGGTGACACGACTTAGTTTTTTGACTTTTCTTTGTTAGTTAAATAGTTGGTATCTTGGACAACCTTCATTCTCTTGGGAATACTCTAAATTTGTTATGCACTGAATTTGTGTAGCCATTTGTCTAGTATTTTGAGTTGCTTTCTTGCTGTAAACAAATCTTAAGAATACTGGGTTACTACTCTGGAGATGGAGATTGGGAGGATTTAGGTTCCAGGCCAGCCTGGGTGGAGAAGAAAAAAAAAAAAATCCCATCTCAATCGGTAAAAGCTGGGTATGGTGGTGCACCTGTCATTCTGGCTAGAAGGGAAGCACGAATAGGCAGCTGGAAGTCCAGGCCTGCCTGGGCATAAATTTGAGACCTTATTTGAAAAATATTTAAGGCAAAAAGGACTGGAGGCATGGTTCAAGTGGTAGAGCACCTGCCTGGCAAGGCCCTGAGTTCAAACCCCAGTATGGAGCAAAAAAAAAAAAATTGGGTTAATCCTACAATACTGCACAAGGCTTAACTTTCATAGTTTCATAGTGGTAATACATTTTTTTCTTTGAAACACCAATCAATTGACCTTTTTATTAATGAAGCTTGAAAAAACTAATTTTATTGTAAAAGTAAATGAATAGTCCACTGTTTTAAAACTGAGCAAAATAAAAATTTTTTATAATATGTAAATAATTGAGTCCAAGTTGAGAGAAGCCTTTTAGACTTTTTGGTTGTAGTCAGAGTGTGACTCAACAGGAAAAAAGACATCAGGAAGTGAAAAGTGTAAAAGAATTACTTGTTAGTATGTTAATTGGAATATGTCAATTAACAGTGTTTTGAAATTTTAGGAAACTGAAAGCAGTTGTTTGAGGAAGAACGGTAGTGATAACAATAGTTAACTTTTTTGCTGGGGTGAGTGTGGAATTTATGAGGTGATGGAAACCAATGGTATGTGTGGAACATAGGAATGCACCTTGCAGAGTAGGTAGCAGAGAAAGGAGAAGTTGTGCAATAGGGCTGAGGTCAGGGAAGGAAAAAGACCTTGTCCTGGACTCCTGAAATTTTTGTGTTTTCTGAGGATGCCACAGTGAGCTTGATAGCCATGGTATTTTTCAGTAGGCCTTCCATTTAAATAAAAATACAGAATCTAGTATGGAGTGAGGTTAACATGTGCTTTATGATAGGAAGCACTTGCCTCTGATGTTCCCTTTGTAGTCCTTGCTTTCCAGGCAGTTTTATTTTTATGATAATATTTCATAAATGGTGTGATTAAAAGAATGCATGGGAGTGGGCTTTGAGGAAGGAATTAGATGAAGGGAGAGCTGTACCAAAGAAAAGGAGCAGATCTAGGAGATATCAGATACCAGTGGACATAATTGTGTTCTCTGTTAGTTGCTGATGTGGATTTTTAAGACTCCAAAGCAAGTACCAAAGTGAAACAAAGAATAACGCCCCAGATCAACCTGTTTTTTAGAGTTTGTTTTATTTATTTATTTATTTATTTAAAAAAAAAACAGTGCATCACGTCTTCTAATATGTTTGATTTGCCTCCTTTGAGTTAGTTACCAGATGAAGTTGCTGTCTGGCCTTGCCTCTTTTCCTCCTTCTTTCTTCCTTTCTTTCTACCCATTTTCTTCCCTTATTTCCCAAGGTGCTATAATTACTACATTAAAATCAGAGTAGATTTCCCTGGTGATGTGCTATCTAGGGTGGCATACTGGGCAGAAGGCTGGTTAACGACGAGTTGTTGAACAACTCTGTTTTGATACCAGGTGATTGTTTTAGATTAAGGTGTTCTCAACTCTTGGGACAAGGAGAGAGGCAAGAGATACTTCGAAAGGTTTGAAGGAGGGTGGGGGATGTAGGAAGAACTGTTATAAGTTCCTGAGTCTGCAAAGTCAGATAGTAATTACAGTGCCTACGGTCAGTTGTAAACCTCTTGCACGTGCATTACATTAGCTGTTCAGTTCCAACAACACCTTGGGAAACCAGATAAAATTCAAAGCCTGAATTTAGCTTTAGGTGTGTGTGTGCACGCATATGTATGATATTAAGCATCAATTTTAGTTTAAGGTTTTAACATGGCAAATACTTTTGGTATATCTTTGTTTTAGATCTGAGCCACCTAACATCTTTTTGAAGGGGAAGGTGACGGCAAGAACTTGAAAAAGTCCCAGATACTGATGTGCTGGGGTTGTGGTTGGGATAGAGATGTGTGTAAGTGTGGAGGCTTATGAAATCCTTGATTCCTTTTTGGGTCTTGTTGAATGACCTTCCTGTAGACAACTAATGAAATGAAGGTAGGGAAGAGTTAGTTTAAAACTTCAGCTCTTTGGATCCTGCTACAGATCTGAACTCTTATGAATCTGATTTTATAGATGAAGAGCTAAGTGAAGGTCCCCAGTGCAGAGCCTTGTAAAGAATACACTGTTAGAAGATGAGTGCAATGAAACAAATAAATTAAGGATTTGGGGTTTTTGTTTTGTTTTGTTGTTTTGACTGCCATTTGAATGCTTTAGGTTTACCTCTAGGTTTAGGATGTAAATATTTAACTTCTCTGTCTCCTGTTTTCATACTTCTAAGGAACATGAGTCTCCATTGAGAGAGCCCTGTTGTGGAAGATTGCTTTCAATCAGGAAGGTATGTAGGGCTGGACTCGCCCTGGCAGTTAGCAACTTTAGACATGTCACTTTACATAAATGTTTCTTCCTGTGTAAAATGTGTGTTGGGCTTAGTTTTAAAAGTCCATGACTTTGTGTTTATTAGCTGATAAAGTTACCCCAAATTCTCTCTGGACCAAGTTGAAGGGAATATAAAAAAGTTAGGAGAGGAAAGTAGGCTAATAATTTGGAAGAAGTTTTCTATAGTAAAGATTTAAAACTGCCTGCTTAATCTGAAGCAGCTAAGCAGAGTCCCACGCGCCCTGGAAACTGCTGTTAATATATACTAGAAGGAAGCAGGAGTGTGGTGTAGTGCAGACATGTGATTAGGTTTGTAGTCATACTCTGTGCTCTTTGGCAAATTACTTTATTTTTTTTTAAGCCCTTATCTGTAAAATAAGGATGATCATTGGTTGTGGGTACTTCTAGGTTATTGTGAAGATTAAGATACATCATCTATGTGAAATGCCTGGCTTCTAGCAAATGTTTGCACAGTTCTTTTTCCTTTGTGAATTCTAAAGTATTTGGATTTTATATTTTTGTTTTTTGGTGGTATCGGGGCTCAAACTCAGAGCTTCATGCTTGCTAGGGAGGCGCTGTACCACTTGAGCCACTCTGCCAGCCCTATATTTTTACTTGGAGAACTTAACGTCTGCTTATATAAGTTGCATTTTTAATCATTAGGACTTCCTTTTCAGGAAGGGAAGTATAAAGCCCAGGTTCATTTATATGCCCACACAGTGAATAAAG